GACTAACCCAGCTGTTGGGTTAAATTTTTTAATTTAATTTTTAACCCAAAAGTTGGGTTAGTCCATATTTGACCCAAAGTTGGGTTGAAACAACCCAGCATTTTTTAGAGTGTACATGTGGACCAAAACACAATTCTGATTTGCCTTTAGATCAAATTCTCCATGACAAATTAATTTGGTCAGATTAGTAGTTGCATTGGAGATTTCAGTCTGTCTGTTTCTGTGTGTCACGCTGAACATGTGCAGGTCTTTACTGAGCCCTGCGTGCTTTAATACGACCCGACTGGAAGTGATGCGGCTCGTAAAGCCTGGCGGGTGGCAGCAGAGCGAGTCTGGAGGGTAACGTTGCGCGTAAACCCATGTGGATGTGGCTTATTTACAGCAGCAGACGTCTACGGGCTCCCACAACCACACTGCACTCGCTCGCTTTCACCACTAATTGCAGCTCAGTGTGACGAGGGTTTCCTAAAGCAAAGATTCAACACTCTGATGCTGCTCTTTCACAGCTCTTGTGGAGACTTAATGGAGACCGCCGTTATGTTTAGGTTAAATCTCATCCTTATGTTTCTCCTAAAATTAATTTGGAGAAATAAAAATCATTTGATATTGGGAGAATTAGATGAGCAGTATTTGAGTTCATATTGACTTTAGTATATTGTCCAGTCTGAGCACAGTTCGAGACATTGAGATCTCTTCTGAAACTCTGAGGTAGTGTTTCTCAACCAGGATGACTTGAAATTATAGAAAATAAGACAAAACAAGCATTAAGATAAGATAAAACAACCAAAAATCAATATATTTCTTATTTTAATTCACTCCCTTAACAACTATTTTCCATCGGAAATCCTAGATATATGAGGTAGCCTAATTTCTAGACCTGGAAAAGTCATGTAATTTAATACAATTTACATAATCTAATCACTTAAATTAATAAAATTGCATTTTAATTCTAATTATAGAATTGTGATGTCTAGACCTGAAAAAGTCACATAATTTATGTAATCTAATGACATATATGAACAAAATTGCCTTTTAAAAATAATATACTTTTTTCTAATTTTAAATGTGGAATTTCTAGACCTGGGAAAGTCAGGTAATTTAATAAAAATTACATAATCTAATTACATACTTAAAATAATAACATTGCACTTTTAAAAATAACTTGCATTATAAATGTGTTATTTCTAGACCTGAAAAAGTCATGTAATTTAATAAAAATGTTGTCATCTAATGACATGAATGAATAAAATTGCCTTTTTAAAAAGAATATACATTTTCCTCATTTTAAAAGTGTGATTTCTAGACCTGGAAAAGTCAATTAATTTAATAAACATAATTAATTACATAAATTAATACAATTTTTTAATTTTTAAAAAGAATATACATTTTTCTTGTTTTAAAAGACTGATTTCTAGACCTGAAAAAGTCATGTAATAAAAATTAATGAAATAGTTAATATTTATATTTAAATTTAATAAAAATAATGTAATTTAATTTAATAATGTAAATTAGTAAAAATGCATTTTAAAAAGAATATAATCTTTTTTTTCTTCATTTTAAAAGTGTTATTTCTAGACCTAGAAAAGCCATGTAATTTAATTAAAATACATAATCTAATCATGTAAATTAATAAAACAAGAATATAATTTTTCCTAATTTTAAAAGTGTAATGTCTAGACCTGGAAAAGTCAAGTAATCTAAAGTAAATTTTAATCTAATCAAATAAAGTAATAAAATTGCATTAAAAAAAAAAGAATATAAATTTTTCTAGTTACATTTTGTTTTCTAGGCCAAAATCACAAACAAATGGAAAAGTCATGGGGCCTTCAAATATTGTTGAGGACAGTTGGGGGGCCTTGGAGTCAAAACCACTGTTTTCTAGGAGAAGCGTGAGATTACCGAGAGAGGCATCTGAGAAGCAGGACTCCATTTCCTCTCTATTTTGCTATCTAGGAGAAACAAAAGAGATTCATGTTGTTTCTTTCCCATTTAATCTGAACACTTGACCTTTATATTCAAAAGTGCCAAATACGCCAATCTGATTTTCCCATCAAGCTTCAGGACAAAACGTTCGTCTCTCTGTCCATTCAGAGATGGCCTGAGTGGGCAGCAGGGTCGTCCCGCTGCAGATATCATCACCGGGGGCCGATCTGAGCTCGAACGCAGTTGGAGACTGCACTCAGTGCAGCCCACAGATGAGTCATGTGTCTGCTGGAGAAACAAGACGGAGCTGTAGCGCTTTGTGCTTTATATCCCTTCTTAAGACTTTAGGGATGAGATAGAGAGCGAGATGAGATGGGCTTCACAGGTTTGAGAGGTTTGGCTGTAGCATGTTGACTTGAAGACATGAATGCAGCTCATCTGCTCTGTTGACGTTTGGTTTTTCAGTCTAAAGTCAGCGGATCATGGCAGGGTTTGCTTTAGTAAAGGGGCATTTCGTAGGCATCAGATCTGTGCTGTCTAGTGTTGATTGACAGCAATTGTGTTTCCGTCAAACTGCTCGTTTCAAGGATTAAAACTCTCATTCATACCTGAATGGATTTGGAGTTGTTTGATTGACATGCTAAATTTAGTCCGTGCCATGCCTTTTCTTCCAGTGAACTTCCAGTGACCTTCTTTGCATTTAGATGCAATTAAAAAGTATTTTGTAGTACAAAAAGCACAATATTGTACAAAATGAGATTGAATGAATCAATCAATGAATGGAGTCAGTGAATGACTATGGATGTATGGATGATTCAACACATGATTGATGGCTAATGTGCATGGATGAAATGATTGATGGTGATAATTGGTGCATTGATAGATGGATTAATAAAGTAATGAATGAATGGGTTCAGATATCAACAGTCCATTTCTGATCATCTTATTCACTGCATAATAGATTGAACACTGTATTATTCTGAGGTTTAGTGTGTTTGCATACTTGTAGGAAGCAGCTTTTGCCTCTTAAATCTCTCCAAATCCACTGTTATCACTTGCCTTAATCTGTCAGCACAGAAGAACTTGGTTTGCTTGTATCTTATGGAATTTTAGACATGCTTTGACAGCCCGTTTTATTAAATATATAACATCAAACTGAATTAACATTGTGCATTTTGTTTATGTCCCAGGCTGCAAAAGGTGATCCTGGACTGTCCCCAGGTCAAGCGCCGATGGGCGATAAGGTAAATGATCCACAAACATGAACTACATATTTTCTCTTAGTGTTGTTGGAAATGTCTTTGTATTTACAGCCCTAAAGCCTTAAACTACAACAATCACTCATTGGTTTTGTGTCCTTTAAAGGGATAGTTCACCCAAAAGTGAAAATTGTGTCATAATTTAATACAAAGTTCTGTCATGAAACTCTAGATGGCGCAGGCCGATAGGTTCTAACTCAATCTGATATAATTACATCATCATTCACATAGTGCAGCTGATTGGTTTCTTTTCGCAACAGCAGCCAATGAGCTTGCTGCTCAGCGTTCAAATACTTGGCTAGTTCTTGCTGTAGCAGTTGCAACGCGCTTCAGAAACCCTCCACCTTCCCCAGCTCCACTGTGTTATATATGGGGGTTATTTCATATATGTTATATGTGCAGTAGCAGTATTTCTTAAATGCTCACAGCAGCATGTATGTGGATGTATTGGCAGTAGCAAGTCTCAGTGCCATGTATTTTACAATACTAACCTCTCCGAGAGTTGTCATAACAGAACTCACCTTAATGTTGTTCCAAATCCGTAGGACTCTCTTGTTACATGGAACGCATAACTAAAGCAAAACTTGCGCAGAATTTCAAAGCTGCTCTACAATAAAAATGGTTGGGAAATCTTGGCACCAAAAATGCCAAAACATGTTTAATTCAAATATCAAAGTGTCAATCAAAACGTGTCTTGTCAGGTTTGGCGTCAATGGAGATCATTCACAAGATGCACAACAACCATTAATATCAAACTTGGTGGAGAACGCAGGCACAATTTGACAATGATGACCTTTTATTGTGCTTTTTAGGTCATTTGTGGAGCTCAGCAGCTCCAATTCCCACTCATTTTAATTCTATGGAAACGAGAAGCATGCAAATTATACAAAATATGGGTATTTGTTTGATTTCCCAGAAAGAAAAGCATTGAAAAATTAGGGCGAAGAGTAAATGGTGGCAGAAATGCTTGTGCGTAAATTGCTTCTGTTTTCGTCATCTAAGTATGACCCTCAGGTGATGAAGGTCAACACTGAGTTTCTTCTCTTTTATTATTTCAGGGTGAAAGAGGACGGCTGGGTCCACAGGGTCCTAGAGGTGAACCAGGTCTAAAGGTAAGTCCTTCTCTTCTACCTTACTGCCAGAGAGCCCGTTTCAGCTGAATTATGGGCTGTTTGCGTCGGTGAGATGCAGTGTTTCATTCTCCACAGCAGTCATACAGTATCTGTTACTACCACCACAGCAGCAAGGCCCCTCTGAGCAGCGGCTGGATTGGGTTACGGACCAGAATAAAGACCCTGTGTGGTGTTTTTGGGGCAGGCGAAGGTCTGTTCACACTTCTCAAGACGTAACTTTGCTCAGGGACCCGCTGTCACCTGGGAGCCCCTATAGAACCTGAGAACCCGCAGAGGTCAAGGGTCGTCTTTTAGAGGAAAGGCACTCTGCAGGGTGGCACGCTCCTGATGACATGAACAGTCCTATGTTGCAGCTAGAGAATGTGTTTTTGTAATATTTAAGGTCCGTGACTTGAGTAGGAGGGTTTGTGAGGGTAGTTTGTTGCGAGAGCATTAGCAGATATCATGAGGGGTATTCAGTAGCTCTTGTTTTGGTTTGCGAGGTGAAGAGAATCAAAGGCCTTGTAAAGTCCTTTCAGTCTTGACTAGAAATGGTTGGCCAGAGCTCGTTTTAGGTCAGTCTTTTGCTAACAGTGGCCAAGTGTAATCGGATTTTCACTTGCAATCCCAAGAGCACAGTCGAGACTGTTTTTGTGTGGCTCAACTCTCAGAAAATTAATGTTCTCCAAGTGGAGTTTTCTTTGGAAATGGAGGCCTTTTGGAAAGAGCTCTTTTCTGTTGCGTCGGGGCTTTTAGTTGGTTTTGAAAGGTCAGTTGTCACAACCCGGGAAGTTATAAAAAGCAGATCTGTAGGGTTAGGTGTGTGGATCCTGGCCGGATCTGGAGGTGAAACCAGAACCGTTGATAGAATAGATCAAGTCATGAGAGAAGTCATTGATTTACCTCCAAAGACAAATGGCTTCATGTCAGCATGCATTCAAAAGACTTAGAGGTTGATCAAATTAAGTTTGTCCACGTTTCTTGCTTTATCAACCCATCTGAGCTGCGGGCTGGGATACCAATCCTAAAAGCTACTGAGTCATTTGTTGCACAACTTTTTGTTTACCTGCATAGGTGAAGGCATCCGATTTTACTTCCATAATGTGACCTGTTCAGAGTGAAACAAGATACTCAGTGAGGTAACAATGCAGAATGGGAGTTGATTGTGAAAAGTCCTTAGTAGAAGTGGTCAAATTGTTTTGACTTCTATTTCATGATGAATCACCTCACCTCACTCCTGCTGAATGCCGGAGTCCCGCACCTCCCGTCGTGACTTGTCTTTCGTTCATGGGCTCGAGCTGGAGCTGTCAGACGCGGAAGGCTTTAAAGGCTTTAAAGGGTTCTGGGGAAATTCTTAAGGGCTATTAGTCTTATTTGAGGCCACTGGGACTTTAGGCAAAAACAAAATCCCCAGAAATGTGGAAAAGATAGAACATCAAGTACAAGTCTCTCTGTTTCTCCTTGTTCTTAACA